GGTAAAGATTGTGCCAACGCTCGTGAGCGGGTAGAGCACAGTAATCTGAACAGAAAAGTCCTGTAACATTTTTTTCCATAACGCTTTATAAAGGAGTTATTATTGAGTAAAGTCTGATCAATTAGCGCCGACTTTTAGCCGGGCGCACGTCAGTGAGCCCCGCGCGCCTAGTAGTGTGCGGCGGCGCACACTTCGCAGCATACATCTGTATACGTCTATGTACATATTACACATATACATATAAATATACACAATTATATATATAACACCTAACCAAATGTTATTCCTCTTGAAAGATATATGGGAAGACACATAGCCCGTATGAACAATGTGAAATTATGTTCAAATATGTGATAAAGGCAGACACGTCTATATTATACTGTTATCTATAAGCTTAAATACGCTTAGATATGCGTGCGAGGCAATAAGAGCAGTAGAAATACACGATGTTGTCCGATTTCAACATATTGAACACAATTCTCTTTCAAATAATGATGATATGCGAAACTATGATCGATTGCTATCGACCAGCTCGAATCGTTGTCGTAGGCAGACTGACTAACGACGGAACAGAGTCGCGGTCGACCGATTCCCATAATAGGAGATTTTCGGCACCGAATGTTCGAGAATCTAGGTGTTTGTCACACTTTTTCTTTGTTTCGATCACGCGATCACGCGCTGATCGGCTGATCGCGATGATGCTTATTCTCGCTCGTGTTTTGATTGCGTCTCTTACCGTTCAGATTTGTCGGTTGAATTTACAGTTTAAATTCATCGATTAAATTAAACGTTTCAATCTTGAACATACCGCCCGCCTTGGAACGATAGTTCCGAAATAATTGATACGACAGTAGCATTGAACGACAAGAGCGCACGCCACAAAACGATATAAGGAAGAATGAATTTTTTTTTTATTTAACACTGTGAATCAGCCGCCCGCCTTGGCGGAATGACGCTCGCGTCTTGACAATTTTATGCTTAAGTCTAATGAATTACAATAAAGGAAACGCAACGCAGCGAAGGTGCCTAATTGCTCGTTGCCTCACTATTGACCGGTAATACGCACAGTTTAACAATCGGTCTTTTGAATTCGGAGGTGGCCGTCTTGACGGTGACGACCCTTACTAAGCCGTCGGAGCCGGGGTGACAGTGTCTCACTCGGCCCAACTCCCATTAGCAAGGGGGTAACAGCGGATTTCGCAACAGGACAAGTTGCCCGGTTTTGATCGGTGGCTTGACCTTTCGCCATTTTGCTCTTT